TTATTTTTTAGCACCTGGCGGCTCTTTTTTGCTTCTCATCCGTAAATAATCTGCTCTTTCACGTGACTCATTTTTCTTTCAAAAGTCTCAACAGGATCTTGAGCTTTATTGTGAAAGGTTTGTGTGGAATATAAACAAGCGGACACGCGATGGTGTTACCGTGGTTGTTGCTAACGACAACGCATAAAAACAGGCGCTTGTCCGTCCGTAGCGTGGTTATATTAAATATAAGAGAAAGAGAGAACTTTAAGAAATTAATATAGCCACTACAGTGACCATCAAAACGATGAAAAAAATATTGCCGTAAACAGTTTATTTTGCGACACCACGAAACAAACGATAGCGTAAAATGAAACCATAGATGTTTTTATATCGTCATCCAATATATATCGTTATATCGAACAGCCCTAGCGTAAAGTATAATTTACAGACATATTTTATGTACAAATTATAAAAGGTTGTTGCTGAGGGACACCATGAATTTTCCATACGTCCCACACTCAGATGGATGTTTTATATTAGTTTTTGCCTCATTTATAGTTATCTAAGAAAAAGCCAGATGCCTTTCCAACATCGGTTGACAGTGATATTTGGTAGTGCACAGTGAAGATTCTCATAGAGCTGCTCATACAGACACAAGCTTTAGGTTTTGAGATGTTTGTGTAGGAGTATGTGTTTGTGACATCTAGCAATAACATACAGTCTTCACATCATGAGAATTTTAAAAAAAATGTTGTCTTGTTGTTGTTGGTGGATTTTACAGCGGCTCGTGTGTGGTTACCTGCATGTTTCATCTCTGTCACGTGGACTCAATGCTCGCTGTGCATGTGTTTCTCTCTGAGTCATCAGACCAGTTGGTGTACCCACATGCCAAGCTGGCTTGTCGTTGGCACCCAGCACTCCCCCACACTGACGGCATTTATTTAACACGAACAGTGCTCTCCTTCACTTTACGTCACATCTCTGCTCTTCTCCAATTTCAGCTTCACATTGACCTCGCCGCAAAAAGCCAAACGTATAAATCATAACCAGGCGACAGAGCAATGTGAAGTCAAGAACCAGTAATAGATGGAAACATAAAGAGAAGTCATCCTTCCTTTAGTCAACAGTCTGCAGTTGATGTTTAGCTGCTTTCTGATGTGTTTCCTGGCAGGCAGCCCGATCTCTCTACGACTCTCCGCACTGCAAACTGCTCCATAAAACACAAGAACAACTCATCTTACTTTACTTCTCTAAGAACTGAACAATACAGTATGTTTCACATGAAATCCAGGTAACAACTGAGACTTTAGCAGTTCACCTTAGGTGTAAGAAATGAAAGAAAGCTTTGCTGTTAATAACCAAACCAAATAATGTTTTCATAGACTGAAAAAAGCTTGTTGTGTTCTAATAAACACCAAGTTATAAAGAATTAAATATAAAGAAGTTAAAGTTAAATCAAATTGACTAACGTGTATTTATCCAAAAGGCACAATTTTGTATGTATAACATGCAACTATTTTAGCTTTTATCAGTACTTTAAAATCATTGCTGAAAAATACAGGTCTGGTTTAGGTTTAAAACCAATCTGCTGGGTTTAGGAAAAAAATCACGGTTTCAGTTAAAATTACTAATTTGATAATGTGTGGATGCTTTCGTCACACTGCCAAAGTTAGAGAATGATTTACACAATTTTAAATGCAAAAACACTGATTGCTGTTTAGACACAGAAAACAAGCAGCATCCACCCTCACTGTGTTCTTATTTGGATTTGTGGCTCTAACTAAAGGTGTGTGCTAAAGGCGTATGGTTACTAAAGGTCATTTGTTTGAAAGGACAGTCTCTAATTACATCTGACTGACTTATAAACCACTCGTATTTTTGTGTTGTAGGATGATGATCTCATGCAGATATTTGAACCTGTGTGTTTGATTACGGTTCAGTAACATTTTTGACTAAGGATCTGTGATACACCTGTTAGACAAGTTGCTGGCTAACAGAGAGTTCACACAGTATTTAGGTTCACTTTCAATGTTTTTCTCTCAAATGTGAGGTTGGAGGCTCAGTTTTCTCACATGCCTTTTGGTGGGAACTGAAGAAAAGTATGGAGGTGATTAAGCATATAATGTATTGTTTAGACTAGAGACAATTGTCTTTTTTTTAAATGTGTTGAGTCAAGACTTGAATAGTTTCTACTGCCAACAAAACACTAGTGAGGAGCTCATGTTTGTTTTTTTCTTTACACTCCTACAAGCAGGTGCTTGACTGACTTACAGTTTTCTGTGTCCTTTTGAAATTATTCATTTGAATTTCTTCATCTCAACCTGTAGTAATTGCTGATAATATTTAATGAACTAATGAACATTTATTTAAATAGCACTTTTCACATACATAAAAATCACAAAGGGCTGAACAACAGTTACAAAACAATATCAAAAGTGACCCATGTTAAAACAGAGTAAAAATAATTAAAAACATAGATAAAAAAAAAAAAGAATGCAAGCAGAAGGAAAAGGGTTTTTTTAAGACTCCAAAGACTCAGCTGATCCGAGCTGGAATGGTAGACTGATCTGGTGCTAGGCTCTTCCTTAGCTTTAGTCTTATACAAGGGATAACCAAAAGACCTTAGACAGTGGGCAACAGTGCGTTTCACAAGAAGCTGAGATAAGTAGTCCGGAGCATGTCCATTTACTGCTCTGCATGATGCAAGTGTGAGAATTTAACAATGAATTCCAAAATCAACTGGGAGCCAATGTAAAGAGAATAAAATCAGTCTTATGCAAGCTTGCTTGCTGAAGTGTGTAGGAGTCTGGCACCAGCATTTTGTATCGCTTAGAAGTGTGACAGAGATGATTTGTCTAAGCCAGTATAAAAGGCATTACAATAACTCAGGTGTAATCATACTAACGCATGAGCATTTTTCTCTAGTTCAGAGGAGAAGACTACAGCTCACAACTGAAAATGGCCTCAGTTTTGTCACAGTTTAAAACAAGGCAATTATTGGAGAGCCAATCACTAATCCGGGATGAACAATCAGGGTGGACAGTCTATCCAGCTGGTGGGACATGACCAGCTGAATGTCATCAGCATGGAAATGATAAGAAATGCCAGAAAAAGACTGAATGATGAAAGAGAACAACAGGGGACCCAGGAATGAACCTTGTGGAACCCAAAGGTTAAACAAGCAGTGTAGCAGGAGAAGTTTCTCACCCTAGAAGAAGAAGTCCTTTCAGATAAATAGGAGGAAAATCAGTCTAGTGCTGATCCAGCCAAAACTTTTAGCCTATTAAGTAAAATATTGTGGTCAACGGTATCAAAGGCCGCACTGAGGTCAAGCAAAATGAGCACAGAACAATTTCCTGCATCAGATCCCATTACAAGATGATCACAGAGACTGAAAAGAGCAGTTTCAGTGGAGTGTCAGCCCCTCAAACAGTCCCAAAATAATGACTCAGACTGTATGTATGAATAATGACCTCAGTGTATCTCCATTCCTTATACTTTCAAATTAATGTCTAAAAGGGTCCCTGCTCTTATACCAGAAGTATCACACCTGCGATACTGTCACCTGTGTTCGAGTATTCATTTTATCCATTTTTCTCATCACCTATTCAGGTCTTAATGTTCCTGTCTGCTTCTGCCTTCATCGGACTGTTAAATCATAAGAATTAAACACATTATAATGGTAGCACTTGAGTAATTAGTAGGTAATGCATGCCAGAGTGATCCAGATGGCTGAAGCTGAGGAGCATAGTAATGAAAAGGAAAATCTGCACAAATGACACTTGGGATTTTTTTTTATTTTAGTTTATTATTTTTAACAGGCTGAAGCAGTTTACATCCACTTAAAGTGACAAAGTTTTTTAGCCAGCTTTAGAGCTCAATTTGCCGTGAGGTCATTCCTCTGCCATCACAGTTTACTGAGAGACATTTCCTCAAGGCTAGCACCATGTGATTGCTCTGTAGGGACACTCAGCCCAATCTCTTTTTCAAATACATATATTATCTCTTCTAGAAGATGGTTTACAGTCTGTCTGAGCTACAGTGTTGCAAATCAAATATGTTTATACCCAATCTGAACAGCCAATACAACATCCTGGGTACCTGTTTAAAATAGGGGAAAACAGTCTATACTTTCAGGCAGCATCTCTATGTTGTTGCTCATGAACAGCGCCAATAGTTGTACAACAAAAAAAAAAAAGGGAAAGCACAAACCTTGAGACCTCGCTCTCCCTCACAGTGCTTTCAATCATGCCACAAAATTGGTGTTAACATCAGGTTGTCAGTTTCAGGAAGTTGCTGAACAGTCAAACACAGACACCCCTAATAGGACATCAGAAATATGTCGAGGTAGGAGTGATTTCCAGAATCACCATCTGACAAGCAGTTCACACAAAGAAGAAGAAGAAGAAGCCTTTTTCTGTGTTCTTTTGTCGAATGCTGTGGGCATGACCAGCGGTATATGGACAACCTGTGTTTTTGGCCTTGCTTCTACAGGATTCAATCTTTCAGCATGACAATTCCCTTGTGTACAAACCTGGAGCTATTAACAAGTTGTTTTTGAGCATGATGTCTGGCCTTCACGCAGCCCTCACCTCAGACTAACCCATTACCTTTGAGGTGAACTACCAGAGAAACTTTGGCAGCCAATATCGCACCAATTCTCCTGCGGTTGATCGAAAGTAACCTCGTGCAGGCAGGGCCGAAAACCTGAAACCAGAAGTCTGGATGATTGTAGTAGCTTGTTTAATGCTATCCAAGGCTCACAGCTGTGGACATTCACTATCCTCTTTCAAATGTGCTTATTAAAACTCATTATTTGATGGAATTTTCTAAACTACTTCTCACCTTCTTAGATTGTTTTTGAAAGTAGCTATTACTATTAATTATGGGTGTATCTGTTTATAAACAAATACACTGGGGCATATGTGGAGCTGCACAAACACAGTATTTGAAAGATATTTTGGAAAAATATGAACATAAATAAAACCTAAAGACCTTTATTTCTCACTTTCTTCCAGGTTGAAGAGGAGGAAGAAATCGGATACGCCGAAGGAAACACAGAAAGTGAGTTGAGGAAATAACTGCTATTTGATTTTCAGTTTAAAAAGGAGCAAAGTAACACTCTTCCTACTTTTCCACCATAGTCCCTTTTGCCTGCAGTCGACTCAGTCTAGCATTTCATCACAAAATGTTTCATCTCAGTAAATGCCAAGTGTCATGTAACCATTTTTCACCACAATGAACCGCTCCCTGCAGCCGTGTGTGTGTGTGTGTGTGTGTATGTATGTGTGTGTCAGCACTGTTCTGCATCAACAGTATTGATTGTGTAATACGAGGGGATGCTCGTCTGTTGATTCACTGTCGCCACTTAGACCTGATGTTTATCTCATTATCCAACAGTACAAACTATTTTCATTATTATGTTACTGGTATGATTCTTGCTACCAACCCAGCCATGGGGAAACCGTGCGCCAGTGTACTCATGATAAATGAGGAGGGTTGCGTCAGGATGGGAATCTTTGCCAAATCAAGCATGCAGCTCATCAGGAATGTGACTTCTGTAACGGATCATTCGGGCACTGGGTTAAGGACGACCACCCCCTGTGCTGTTTTCAAACAGGGTGGAACTGCTGGCCAAAGGCAAAGGGGGGGCCTTTTCAGATACAGCAAGAGGAAAGGACAGGAAGGAATAAGAGGAGGTTGAGAATAGGAACTTTATATTCAGTGACTGATGTAGTACATGGAGACATGCAGAGGGTTAGTGAGAGAAGAAGATGCTAGGGGCAGGATGGAGGCAGATGATCCCCTGTGCCAAATGAAAGAAGAAGATTTTTGCTACAACTTGATATTTTCTATTTGGATTTAACAGTTTTTTCCAGTGATTCCACAAGAGTTATAACTATTAGTGAGCTGTGCCTCCACGGAGCACGGATTTACCAGGATGATGTCATTGCAATTGCCAAATTCATAAAGTTGATCAACTGTGCAAAAGCAGTGTGTCTGAGCACACCTGTATTTACTGCGTGATAAAGTTAGAAGGTTACAGCTTCTGTTTCATGTAAACAAACTGCCGCTGTTTACAAAATGTTTTTCCTCGGAAAACTAAACAGGAAATATTAAAACGCAGAAGTCAAATGCTTATCGCTTTAGCTCTGTGCACAAGTATTGCTCACAAAACCTTTCCTACTTAGCATCCGGGGTAATGCATGGGGAAACTGCAAATATATGCTTAATTAAAATTCTGTGGTAGGGTGTAACAACAGAACACACACCATCAGCCAATCACAAAAGGAGGAAAAACACAGGAGACGAATCGGCCACACACAAAGGGAGTCTCACCCCTATTGCACATGCTCGATTCCTCTCCTCGTGAATTAGTCCCCTTAGGGGATGAACAGACAACAGGAGGGAGATGTCGTCAGCTAAATAAACTGTGCCATTACATGTTTTGTTATTACTGCGGCTGTATTGCATGTTTTATATTTATGGACACTTTTAATTAAGCCTAAAAAAAAAGGTTTGTTGAGGTTTACTTGTGATGATCAAGGTCAGGTTAGGAGTACAGAAAATGGGCCTTAGAGACAGAAGTACAAGTATATGGGTGTGTGGTTCTGAACCACATGTTAAACTGTGATTTTCTTCCCTCTGACAGGTTATTCTACAGAACAGAAGAAACCAAAGGTTATCTTCATGATGGGTAAGAGCTGACAACATGGGCACGCACGGTGATAGTGAGCAGCTGCTGATTGCTCATCAAGCT